GGGGGATTGGTAAGACTTGCGTCTTATGAAACGATTGAGAATATGCGACAATCCAATCATAGTAAAAAATCTTATCTGTAAAGCGTCAGTCTATAGGTGAAGTGCTGTTATGTATACTTCTTCGTCTTCAATTTTTTGGAGAGGTAGAAAAAGTGGGTTCGTAAAATTATAGTAACAAAACCAGGGTAGTGTGGGGATTAGTGAAGGCTCGTCGACAAAAAAACCTCGTTGACTTTGGGGTTCGTTATTGTTGAAGCAGTATGGGTGGAAAATGGAAGATTGACAAGTAGGAAGTTTTAAGTATTAAGATGTCTAGGGTGGTTAGTGTGGAGTAGACTTGATGATTAAGGTCGATTGAATGAATATAATGGTGGGTTGATGGGATACTTATTTTTCATGAACACGCGTTGTGAACGGGTGGGGGTGTTACGAATGAATGATAATAGTGTTTCAAAAGATCAAGTGGAGTGTGTTAGTTGGCGGGTTGTACGTGGTTTGTTAGTATGAAGTATTTGCTATTTACGCAGAATAAATTCGTCTAACTAATCATCTTTTTAGTCATCAGTTTTTGGGTTTGAGGTGTCGGTCGGAACAAATGCGTGAAAGGGGTGAGAGAATCGGAGAAGCGCCGGTATAGGAGAAATCTGAGTTTTAGGATTTGATGATTATGGTAACTGAGGGAGTTATTGGATGAAAAAAAAGTGGTGAAATGTTAAGAGTTTGACTTGCTTCGGAGTCAGCAATTTCATCAGGTGTGTCAATGGCAGGTAAATCTAAAAATTCTCGTGTATTAAAACCTAGATAGAGTCATCAGTGTGCATGTGGGGTAAGTTAGGTGAAAAAGTGGAAAAATCGGAATTGTATACCGGCAAAGGAGAGGACACGAGGTCAGAGATGGAGATAGTAGAGTTTTGAAGCTTGAGATTGGAAGGATAGGAAAGAGAGCGATGAAGGAATCATCTGACTAGGCGCCTCATTGTGGGCAAAAACTATCATCGTTTTGAGACAGAAAATCAACTGCGTTAGATTGTTTTACAATTTGTTCATAGATTTCATCGGAATTGGGTGGTTTTATAGGCAAAATGAGAGATTGGTTTTCGTTGTAATTTATTGCTTTAATGGAGTCTTGATGCTAATCAGAAGGCTGATGCTGATTTGATAACTATGTGAGTGTGATGGTGCTGCAGGTCTAATGTGTATGTTGCTATGTGGGTTTTCATAAGTTTTTGGTTTTGTTGACAATTTTTTGTTGTTTTACTGATTTGTGCGTCTAGTTACATTTCATTTACTGAGCAAGAGAAAAATTCAAAAAGTCCTGCGGGTAAAAATCCAGTTACTCTTGCTTGTCGGTCGAATTGCGCATGAATTGCACAAGTGTTGTTTGTTTCTTTAGGGAGGGAAAAAAATTCTATAAGAATAAACATTGCATATGAAATTGTGAGTCTTTCTAAGATGTAGTAGGTCTTCTCTAAAAATGCTAATGGGTCATTTTTTTTACATGTTAAAACTATAAAAGTTGATTGGAGAAGTATTTTCTTAGAGAAGAAATTTTTCATCATTGATAAGAAGGTAGTCTTAAATGTTTTTAAAAAAGCACTATAAACTTGTGCGTAGATATCTGAGAAACAGGCTGTTTCGGCGAGTTTCCTGAAATTTTATTCCATTGGTTGTCGTTGTATTGTATCCTTTTTGGATTCCTTGAAGAGACTGTAAGAATGCTGCGCCGATTCTGAAGTTGAAAGCGTCGCACATTGCATAAAATGGTCCATCAGGGATGATGTTTGAGGTTTGTTCGCTGATTAGCTTTTTTATTTTCATCGAGTCTTTTCTGAAGTTTGATTGTTTTTGAAAAATTGTTTTTGGCGTGATTTGTATAAAATTGTCTGAGGTATAATTGTGTTTTGTTAACATATTCACTTAAAAATTATCAATCCAAAAATTTCTTGGAACTTTTTTGGTGGTGGTTGCAATTTTGAAATTGCATTTATTCTTGATTTTAAGGGAGTTATTGTTGTTTCCTCGATGATATGTCCTATAAAAATTAACTCGAGTCAGGAAAAACTGTGGTTTATCTGGGGCTGCTTTTTTGTTTTCTGCCCGGGAAATGTGGTGTTTTTTTTTCAAATTTTTGAAAGTTTTCTGCTTTTGTTTGCGATTGCATAAAAACCTCGTCTAATTTTGTGATAACTTGTTATATAAAATTACGTGGTCTAAACATTTTTGCTCTTAAATGCGGAAAAATCTGTTGGTCCTATAGAAATTCCATGAATCAGTCTGTTGTTTTCAAATTGTTGGTTTTTGTTCAGGAATTGTGTTAAACGGCGTGATTGTTCATCTAGGGGCATTCGATTAAGTGCGCTGTTTATATCAGCTGTTCTATAGTTTTTTTGGTTCATTTTTATGAGGATTATTTTATTGGTTCTATTGGCCATTTGAATTTTGATTCATCTTTTAGGAGGCTTAAGTAATTTGCGTCGAGAACTATTTTCAAAGATTCTATTTTCGCTAACATGATAACTGGATTCATAAATGTATTTATCTTCAGTTGTTGTTTTTTATTTATTGGTGTGATAGTTTTTTTGTTTTCAAGCATGTTTAATAGTCTATTTACCTGGTATAGGTACTTAACTGGCGCATTCTTTTTTGAATACTGCGTGTGGTTTTTGTGGAAGATGTAATAGTGAATTAAATTTTCCGACATCAAATTATGACATAGCATATGCATTCGGGAATTTTAATAAAAAGCCTGCTAATTGCTAAAAAACTTTTTGATTTATTTGGATCTGGTGAAAATGAAACATTGTTAGAAAATTTTGATGTACTGGTGTTTGTTTTGAGATGTGGAAAGTAGGTTCTTTGTTTGTGAAATAATCGGTGTTTTGTTTTGTTTCTTTAAAAAAAATATTTATAGATAGTTCTTCTTTGAGTGTTGTATATGAACAAATGTGTAAAAATTTGAGAGTTATATCGACTCAAATGCTTTTTCTTGTACTGGCTGCTTTGTTGCATTTGTTTCGCAATATTTCAACAGTCCTGAGAAATTTTATTTGGTATGGTGCGCTTTTGTTTATATGCAGTACGATATTATCTTTCGTTCTTCTTGCATATTTGATTGATGATGTTGTTGTTCGTCTGATTTCTAGTTCAAACATGTATAATTTTTGTGTGTTTTGATATTGTTGTATTGATGAAGTTGGGCATGGTGTGGGATGGGGGATTGGTAAGACTTGCGTCTTATGAAACGATTGAGAATATGCGACAATCCAATCATAGTAAAAAATCTTATCTGTAAAGCGTCAGTCTATAGGTGAAGTGCTGTTATGTATACTTCTTCGTCTTCAATTTTTTGGAGAGGTAGAAAAAGTGGGTTCGTAAAATTATAGTAACAAAACCAGGGTAGTGTGGGGATTAGTGAAGGCTCGTCGACAAAAAAACCTCGTTGACTTTGGGGTTCGTTATTGTTGAAGCAGTATGGGTGGAAAATGGAAGATTGACAAATAGAAAGTTTTGAGTATTAAGATGTCTAGGGTGGTTAGTGTGGAGTAGACTTGATGATTAAGGTCGATTGAATAAATATAATGGTGGGTTGATGGGATACTTATTTTTCATGAACACGCGTTGTGAACGGGTGGGGGTGTTACGAATGAATGATAATAGTGTTTCAAAAGATCAAGTGGAGTGTGTTAGTTGGTGGGTTGTACGTGGTTTGTTAGTATGAAGTATTTGCTATTTACGCAGAATAAATTCGTCTAACTCATCATCTTTTTAGTCATCAGTTTTTGGGTTTGAGGTGTCGGTCGGAACAAATGCGTGAAAGGGGTGAGAGAATCGGAGAAGCGCCGGTATAGGAGAAATCTGAGTTATAGGATTTGATGATTATGGTAACTGAGGGAGTTATTGGATGAAAAAAAAGTGGTGAAATGTTAAGAGTTTGACTTGCTTCGGAGTCAGCAATTTCATCAGGTGTGTCAATGGCAGGTAAATCTAAAAATTCTCGTGTATTAAAACCTAGATAGAGTCATCAGTGTGCATGTGGGGTAAGTTAGG